CCCCAAAACCCCAAAACCCCATTGAATATATTTTTGGAAAAAATTCGAAGTTTTAAAATTTGAAATTAACTCGAAGTTCTAAATTGCTTAAATAATTCATATAGCTTAAGTATATATTTAAATAAATACACAATGCAAAATAATACGTAACTAGCCAAGAGAGCTATTAATGCTGTCCGAAGAAAGAGTCAAATAATCGGTAACATATTTCCTCATTTTATTTTATTAGCAACTCATCAAAGCAAGTTATTTCTTGATAAAAATTGGATGGATCCCTCAGATGAAGCGAATTGCAATCCAGATAACTACTTTTAAGAAATCAGTTATTATGTTGATCTCTCTAGTAAAATACACATTTTCAATATACTTCCAATAGAAATTTATAAAGTACTTAGTACTTGCTACTACAACAATAAAATGAACTACTGCCCAATATTGATCACTCTGTAAGAAGAATATATGATTGAAAAACATGATTAATCAAAGTTTTTGCTATAAGTATGGGATCTTTCAAAGAGAAAAGTATATGAAAGAACATTAAAGGGTAAGATAAAGTTCATCTATAATTCTTGCACCAGATCATATTGGAATATGGGATATTTGCTTTAGTCACTTGGTCTACACTTTAAAAGAAGAAGGAGAGAACCCATTTGTTTACATAGTTAATTTAGAGTACAATAATATGACAATCAGAGTCAAAAACCTTATTCTTGATCCTCAAAGTAACTAAATTATTAGAAGTTCTAATTTAATGCTATAGTCAATAAAATTTCATTTTATAAGGAATTTTTGTACAGTGCATCTGATTTCTCAATTGATATAACTCATATAAGAAAATAAACATTTTCTCCTGATTAAATCATAACACTTGATGTAAATGATCCTACTTAAGTCTTGAGGAGAATACATATCAAGGAAAGAATCTTAGCCCTCTCAATATATGGCAAAGATTAAGCTTTCATATTTGAATCTCCCGACAATTAAATAGAAATCTACAAAATTAACTTGATTAAATTTGATAACGACAGTCTTTTTGATTACAAATTTGAATAGCTTAAAGAAGTTGCACCTAGGAAAAATCCATCAGTCGATCCTATATCAAAATTCAAGTTCATTATTCATGAAGGTAATATGTTTGGTGTAACATTACGAAAATCATCAAGCATCGATTTATATTGGAACTGGGTAATAGTTGAATCCGTCACTGATTGTAAAATATTTAGAAATAATTTTTTAGAGTATATTAAGGACATTACCATGAGTATGAATAGTTTTTTCTTCCTTAAATCAACTGGAGGAGTTGTCGGATTTGAGCATAATGGAAATGCTTAATTATCATTCGACTCAGCCAAGAAAATATAGACAAAAGATTTTAATTTCGAATAAGTTTTCCTGAAAATTATTTAGAACATTGTTAAGCTATATTCTGGGTTTAGCATTATTCAACAAAAAGGATTGGGGACTGTGCTTGTACTTGCTCACAATAATTTTATTTCAATATATAATCTTATTGATTCAAAATGGACACATCATTTACGGTATAGTCATGAAATTCTTTGCCTTTTCACTCACATTGATGAACATAAAAAGGAGCAGTAGGCAATATTATGTGTTAACGGAGATATTTATATAGGAATCACAGATAAACATGTCCTGGACAAAGCTTATAAGCTATAACCTACTCATCATATATCTGGTGAGATAATAAGATGGGATGCAGATTATCAATATAATGATACACTCTACATCTTTGTTATAGAAAATAATGAATACCGTTTTGATGTTTTAGTTAGAAATCAACTTAAAAAAGTTGATCAATTAACTGAAATAGACAAAGATTCAAATTTACTTATATTTTAGTCTGATGATAGCAAGAAATACATACTTTTACAAAAAGAAGAGGATTTAACTCTCTACACATAGGAAATTGTATAGCATTAAGGATAAGATGCATAGATTTAATTGTAAGAGATAAAAAAAATTCCAATGAAAAAGAAAAAAATAGGTGGTATGATACACTCAGGGTGCTCAAGTGATGTTGATAAACACTTTTTTATTTTTGATGAAAAAAACATGTATCTAATTGAAATTTTGCCTGATGAAAATGAAATAACAACTTTTCCTTTTGTTTATTGTGTAGGAGTCTAATCATTTAATTCACAGTTTAACTATGCGATCTGTTAAGAAGGCCCTGGGGCGTAATTTCCTGGCTTGAGACTTTTTAATATGGAAACAATTTTAAGAAGAAAAGTACTAAAAATGACTCTGCTTAAAAGAATAGATATCGGAACATTAGGTAATTTCGTCCATGGAACACATTTACAAAGAATAGGTTTTATGAATTCCATAACAAATATTATTATCTCTCCAATACTTCATTCAAATGCTAATAAGTTCTTTGGAATAAAGCATATGCCTGATTACAGATTAGTTAATATCTTAGACGAAATGTATTATGCTTTTTATAAGGATTGCATCTATTCATGGGATTTATATACTGGAAAGTTTATATCAAAAGTGGCAGTAAAAAATTTTTCTCTAGAAACTTATACTAACGTCAGTAAAAATTAGCTTGGAAAAGTTTTATTTATGTCCAATGAATTGATATAACCAGACTAGCTCAATGAAGCTGAATTCTATTTTCCTTGGCAACTTTAACCAAATATCGAAAAGAGCTTAACATTCTAGTAAGCAACCAAGAAATCATATAGGAAATTTATCTATGCTGAGATTGTTTCTTCAAATCAGGTTAAAATTTATCTAGAATTTACTCATGTAAGTTATGAAAAGCAGAGAATATTCTTTAACAAATCTATGGATAAAATGATTACTATTCTCGATAACTACAGGACATTCCTATACTAAATTGAAAGTTAGGGTTTGGAAAATGATTATAAAGTTTAGACAAAGCTTATTAGATAAATTAAAGGCTTTCCTAATTCACTTGATAATGATGAGAAATATTTGGAATTCTTTAGTCCCTGTTTCTCTAGATATCTTACATTTGATTAGAAAAAGAGACTCTTTATAATAAGGAACAATCTTGATGGCAAAAGATTATTTGAAATACCAGAGGACATTCTAAGCGCTGAAAAAGAAGATTCTAATTTAAAATGGTCAACCAATAGGATCAAATTTATTGACGCTAGCACCATCAAGATAGTAAATGAAGATGGAGTTGAGTGTATTTATGATATTGACAATAATTTCGAGCAAAAGGCTTTTAATGTCATCCCTCTTTTCAACAAGGTAGACGGAATAGAATACCAAGAATATCATTATTATGTTCAAAGAAACAAGTTACCTCCTACTCAGTTATTAAAAAGATTGCAGAGAATTTATCAAAACTATAAAAGCGAAAAACTATTAAAAAAGGCAGCTACTGTTGACGATCTTCTATTAGTAATGTTTAATGTGGATAGAGCTGACTTATCGCTATAGGAAACAAGCTTTACCTACCTTCATTGGTCTCTGATCTACTAGCTAAAGCATGACAAGATCTAGCTTGATGATTTAGAACCTAGCGTTATTCATTCACTTATCTACAATATACTTCCTGGAGGTGAAACAATATTTCATGCTTTGTGTGGTTAAAAGGATGAATTATAAAAACTTATGGAAGCCTGTCATAGTGATGAAGCAATAATTTACCATTTGCCATTTATTCCAAACTTCAAGGGAATGACTCCTATTCACAAATTAGTTGGATCAATGGATTTCAGAAGCATTAATATGGTCTTAAGATACTTAGCATTTTATGAGATAGACCATCATTCAAGATTTATTTAGAATATCTACTACAAATTTATTGAACAAGAACTTCCTAATTTCATCCCCTACTTGCAATAAAATCTTAAGTAGACACCATCCTTAGCTAAAAAAGACAGAGGATTGCTGAAAGAAGATTATCCATCGGTGCTTCCAGCTAAAATTTGGTACAGGGAAGAAGAAATCAATGAGTAGATCTTTTATAAGGATAATCTTAAAGTTATGTCAAGTGTAAGGTTAGATTTTATCGATCTTCCAGGCCTCTATCATTACTTGGATCCTAACTTCAAAGCATTCATTCATGAATTAGCAGACACTACAAACTTTGAATACTTTACAATTCCATCAATTCAGAGTATAATTGAATTCAACTATGAATTAGTTTAAAGATACATAATTTACGTAATTATAGTTCCCTACTTGGTCTTTCATGGGATATTTGTCTGCTATATGAACTTGGTTTATGAACATAGAACAGAAGATGAATACTACTAGCATGTTAACAAAGCTATATGTATTTTGATGGCTCTGTTCTCAATATATTTCTTATTCAGCGAAATGAGGCAACTGATAAGTTAAGGATTTCAATATTTATCAAATGTTTGGAATTATATTGACTTATTGTCACCAATTGGAGTAATTACATTTTTGATATTAGAACTACTCAGCTAATTAGAATATGAAGTAAATTAGGATTTCTTGAGAAGTATTATGGCTCTAGCTACATTTTTTATGTGGCTTAAAATACTATATGTTTTGAGAATTTTTAGAAGCACAGGCTATCTTATCAGATCTATAGTAGAAGTCATTTATGATATGGGAATATTTTTGCTCATTTTATTTTTGACTGTTACAGCTTTTGGAGATTCATTTTTAAGATTATCCTTAGGAAATGAAGAAGGCTTCATTGAAAATTTCTTCTTCAGTATTGTTTACGCGTATAGAATGATCTTAGGTGATTTTGATACTACTAATTTTGGAGATGTGGCAAGACCATTAGCTTTTGTATTTTGGTTTATGTGTACAATAGTTGATATGATTGTAATGCTAAATCTTCTTATCGCTATTATTTCAGCAACTTATGAGAGAGTTGCTAATAATTCAGAAAAAGCAGCCTACCAAGAAATGGCAAAGCTTATTGATGAAAACTAGTATTTAATCCCAGCTTATATTAAGAAAAGTTATGCCCCACTGGGCTAGTACTTAATACTTGTAACGAATGAGGAAAAAGTTGTTGAAAAGTCTGGTGATCCTGTATTCCATAAGCTTAATAGCCTAGAATAATTAACTGAAGATCTTACCAAAACTCAAAAAACAATCTAGGATAAACTAATTAAACATCATAAATAATTCAAAGCGTTTACAAGAGAGCTTAATTAGAAAAAATTAAAGAAAAATATAGGGGAATTCCCAGCATTTTTATTCAGAATCCACGGTCATTAGCTATACAAAATGACAATTAGATAATACAAAGAAAGCAGTAAATAAAAAGGTACAGGAGTGCATTGCAGTGGCAGAAAATTTGCTAAATGCCAGTCAGGAATGCTGGCAACATAAACTCAATATAAAACCTAAGACAATGATGTAATTTACCATTGCTTTAAGTGCTAATTTGATTACTGTGATTAATGCTACAAGTACTATGGTTCTAATTCTCATCAGCACTAGTTAGTTTAAACAAACTATGGAGAAGTTAAAAAATTAGCTGCCTATTAAAATGGATGGCTATGTGACGCAAGATTCTATGTACCTTGTCCAAAGGGAGATAAATTTCATAATGAAGATGGAGAGATTATATATCATGATGATGATTGTGATTTTAATCTTTGCACTCTGTGTGCCAGAATATATATGGCATGACTTACATAAAAAGAAAATAAAAAACATAATAAATTATAGATATAAAATAATAAATTCTAAGATATTTTGATATGATGGGGTTTTGGGGTTTTGGGGTTTTGGGG